TTTTTGATCATAAACTGTAAGGCTTGAGCATCAGGCAGAATACTGCTCTAAAAGATATGCTTCAACTCTCATCCATACAGCAAAGCTATATGGCTGCCGGCCAGTCTACAGCAATATCTTCATGTTTGTGGTTTCGTCTAGAGAAACATATCTTCTTCAGTAGTGTCAAGTCAGGCCCAAATTCTGCCCAGCCAGCATAAAGAGAACTGATTCATTTGGAAGGCAGTAGGTTCAGCAGAAGGTCTGTGTACCCAAGGAGAGAAATGGCCCAGTCACAAAATTTCTTCAGCATGTTTACTGAAACAAAAAAAAATCTCACACCAAAACCTATACCAGTGTGAATAAACAACTTATTACATCTATGCAAAATTACATCTATGCAACAACTTGCTTACCTACTAATATTGTCATCTTCCAAGCACTATACCGATTTCCAGTTTGTCCTAGGAAGTGTAAAGGGTGTGGGGGAGATTTATTAGGGGTATTCATTTATTTTCAGTTTGTTAAGTCAAAACCTGAGTCAGCCTTAAAATAACTATTAAAGAACCCCAGCAGAACAGTCTGTACATTACTTCATTCTGTTACAGATTTGCAAGTATCTTTTCTAAAGATTGTTCTGGGCAATGTTTCTCTTCACAGTTCAGCTGAAGCTCCAGCCTTGTCCAAACTCTTGAGCAATGTATATACATACTTGTATGCAGTACATGCACTGAGCTTTAAAAGGTACAGAGTTATATTTGTATGTTTTCTGTTTTAACTTACAAAACTATATTATTGTTGTGTGCCTTCAAGTCATTTCTGACTTCTGGAAACCCCTAGACAACTCTGTCATGGGCTATTCTGAGATTATGTGGTTCACTCAAGGTCACGTAGTAGGTTTGTATGGAGCTCCCGGTGACACAATGGTTAAACGCTTGTGCTGGTAGGGCTGCTGACCGAAAGGTCGGTGGTTTGAATCCAGGGAGTGCAATGAGTTCCTGTCTGTAAGCTCCAGCTTCTCATGCAGGGACATGAGAGAAGCCTCCCACAGGATGGTAAAACATCTGGGTGTCTCGTGGGCAACATCCTTGCAGATGGCCAATTTTCTCATGCTAGAAGCAACTTGCAGTTTCTCAAGTCACTCCTGACACGAAAAAAGTAGGTTTGTGTGGCCAAGCAGGCAATTGAACCCTGGTCTCCAGAGATTCCAACTTTCAATCCATTACATCATGCTTGGCCCATGTAAGCTACCCCGAGTCCCTTCGGGGAGATGGAGGCAGGGTATAAAAATAAAGTAGTAGTTGTTATTATTATTATTATTATTATTGTTATTATTATTATTATTATGCTATCTCAAGAGATCACCAAAAGGAAAATGGTGCATACAATTTCAAAATGGTGAATAAAAGAAGATGAATTAAAAATACAGTGTCAAAAATATCAAAAACAATCCATTCCAAATCATGTATTTTTTCATTTTAACTAGTCAGTTGCACAGAGATCTGTGATTATTATTTTTTTTGTCGTGTCAGGAGTGACTTGAGAAACTGCAAGTTCCTTCTGGTGTGAGAGAATTGGCCATCTACAAGGACGTTGCCCAGGGGACACCTGGATGATTTGATGTTTTTTTTTATCATCCTCATGGGAGGCTTCTCTCATGTCCCCGCATGAGGAGCTGGAGCTGATAGAAGAAGCTCATCCGCCTCTCCCCAGATTTGAACCTGCGAGCTGTCGGTGTTCAGTCCTGCCGGCACAGGGGTTTAACCCACTGCGCCACCGGGGGCTCCTTCTGTGTCTGATAAAATACCAGGACATATAGATAGGAATGTTCTATGATGGTCATCTGCTTAGTCAGATATAATTTTTATTTCAAAAAGTAACAATTTGACAAGTCAAAAATTGCCTCATGCTGGATGGATTGTGCCTCTCACTTTTTCACTTTTTTTAAAAAAAAGGATGTTATAATAGCATTTGCTTTACAAATACTACTGAATTTACAGCACTGAATTTTGATTGCACGGGTTTTAAAAATATTTTTGTACCATGAAACTAACTACTGCCAAATAATATGTGAAGGCAAATCTGTAATGTCGAAATGTAACCTCATTTAAAAAATAATGCCAAGTTATTTTGTCTTTTTTTCAAATATTACATATTCTTAAAAATAGTCATTTGAATTATTGTATGCTCTGTTTGTGCTTTTGAGAGTTGACTACATTTATGCTGTTTGACTTTAGATGAACATGGGGTCATCTTACCTTAAATCGATCAAGCAGGAAGGGGATGTTTCTTCCTCTGATATACTTACAGCTCCTTTGTCATCTTAAGCATGCTTGAAAATTAATGCAACATGTCTCCATTAGGAAAGCAACCACGCAAACCTACAGTCATTGGACCCTAAGTTGTTTGTAGTTGTGATCCAAAATCATTTGTAGGGCTACATAACTGTCACGCATGGGATTGTGCTAAAATTTTGTTTTGAAAGGGATCATAAGAGAGACGTAAAAGAAGGGTAAATCAGGATGAGGAGCCTACTAGATGGCTCTTTGTCCAGACTTACGTTATTATGAGAGACCTCTTTTTGAATAATGGCATCTCAGTGCAAACAGAGCAGTGGTGACAATTGTTTGGCTCTCCAGATATTATTGAACTGCAGCTCCCAAAAGCACTAGGCAGTATAGTAATTTAAAAATGGGCTTAAATTGAACCTTAAAAACTGTGGTATAGGCACTGGGAACTGGGAAGCCCTGTCCACCGAGCATGCTAGCTGCAAGTCAGCTGTTATCAACAGTCCTGTGGATTTTGAAGAGGCACAAATGGAGGGTGAAAGGGAGAAATGTGCCAAGAGGATGGCATGTTGGGCTAACCCTTGTTGGGACCACCTTCCATCTGGAAATCTATGTCTTCACTGTGAAAGAACATGTGGATCCAGAATAGGTCTCTACAGTCACTTACAGACCCCTCCCAAGACTCTACACTTGGAAGGCATATCATACTTGGCCATGAATAATAACCTATGATGATGAAGAAGATGATGCATCCCTTCATCCCTTATCTATGTGGAGACATGCTCCAAAGACCTCCTGTGGAAGCTTGAAACCATGGATAGTACCAAACCCTATACCAGTGATGTTTTTGGACTACGGTTGATCGTGGAAAGCAAACGTTTTTCTTAATTCAGTTCTGGAGGTTTTATATGTGGGTAAAGGTGAAGGTTTCCCCTGACATTATCTAGTTGTGTCTGATTCTGGGGGGTGGTGCTCATCTCCATTTCTAAGCTGAAGATCCGGAATTGTCTGTAGACGCCTCCAAGGTCATGTGGCCGGCATGACTGCATGGAGTGCCATTACCTTCCCGCTGAAGCGGTACTTATTGATCTACTCATATTTGCATGTTTTTGAACTGTTAGGTTGGCAGAAGCTGGGCCTAACAGCAAGAGCTCACCCCGCTCCCTCGATTCGAACTGCCAACCTTCCAGTCAGCAAGTTCAGCAGCTCAGTGGCCTAACCCACTGCACCACCAGGGAATCTGTGCCACAGGAGAATAATGGGACGTGAGTGGAATTGGAATTCACTCTGTCCCAGATCCCTTGCTGGGCTGGGTGACAAAAGAAGCTGACATTACAGCTCCTGATAGCTTCCTCTTTCATGTCTGTGTAAATTACTAACCCATCTGCACATTGTGTGACTATTTAAAAGCAAAGGGCTAGATCATAGATTCATAGTGGAATTTTCCATTTTGGCTCCAGTACCAAGCCAGGAACAATTTGGGATCATTGCTACAGTGTGATGAAATATTTGAGCGGTAATGATACTTAGGAACAAATACATTCCATGCTTCACCGTAAACTTGCCTTGCCAAAGCAATGCACAGCTCTTCTTTGAACAAAACATACATCTTCCCCACCATCAGTACCTTCTGTTAAACCGAATACAGTTGAGGCATGTTTTTGACTTGCTGAAAAAAACTGTCCAAACACAGAAAATGGATACTGTATTAATCAAAACAGAGTTTCAAAATGAAATGAAACCAGCAGTTCCTTCCAGAACTGCCAATAAAGTTCATTTACAGCACAAAGCTTTCTTTCACTGCAATCTGAGAAACCCCTGGCTATGAAACTGTTTGTGAGAAACAGCTCTGTGGTGAAATCGTTTTTCTTCAAAATGTGCATTTCCCCCACTTCAAGATTTGTTTCCTTCTTCCTTTGTCACATTACATTATACCTACTGGAAAGAGAGAGAGAAACCCACAGTAACCGCTGATTAAGCTGTTTGTATGCAAGTTGAAAGGTTTAAGCTGAGTAACAGTTTCCTTGACCTTGCACAGTATGGGAGTCTTAAGTCTCATGCAAGGCTGGAGGAAAAGGGACAGAGCAGATTAAGAACTGGAACGGAGCTCTACTGGATGTTTTTCAAACTTCTTGGAAAGGAAACAAATGACTGAAAAGCTAGATGAAATGTGTGGAATTTGCCATACGATTGATGTTAAACTCCATGTATACCACACAGTAATCCAACACGGGTTATGTATATTATGAATGGTGGGTGGCCACTTAGGCTTTATCAGAAAAGAGAAAATGCACGACTGGCCAAAATGGCAAAATAAGTATATCAGTATATTTTGCTTTGAAATAGTTACGTTAGCCATCCCGATCTCTGCAATCTGGTCCAACATTTTCCGGCAACCATGATTTGTTGCATCCCATATTAGAGAATGGTAGCAATATGAATGTGGATATGCTGAATCATTCACATTTATGCCACCATCATTTAATAATATGGGGAATGATCAGTCCTATTTTTCCATATCTGTGGCGAGTCTTGGAACTGAACTCTATGAATATGGTAGACCCACTTTAATTAGGTGGCAGAAATAACGTATGCATGAGCATTTACAGGTATTTAAATGTGTTTCA